TAGGAGACCACTCCTACTTGCGGAAGAACTGCTGATGTGAAGACGACCTCATTCAGGGGCTAATTGTCGCGTGTCTGTGACAAATGTCGAGAGGGCTTCCGGAAAGGGTGAGCGTCATGCATCACCGGTTGTCCGTCACACTCGATGGAGTCGCATTTTCTTCGATTTAAGCCATAATCGCCCCCCGAATTGCCCACCAGGCCCTTGATTCCATGCTCATCTGCCGCGAAGTTACAGTCTCTGCAACGCTTGTTTCGCTGACGACGAAAGGAGCAGTGACCACTTCTGCTCGGTCACAAGCACCAAACGACAATATGCTGACCGGATGGTAGTACGGCCGGCCATTTTGAAGTTTTGAAGCGCATTTTTATGCCATCGACACTCGGCCATGCTGCCAACGTCTGAACACGGAAAGAAGCTCGTAGAAGAGGCTGCTCGACAGGGCATATGCCAACATCACGCAGGACAAAAGCCAGCCAAGAACTGTGCTCGAACATGTGGAACGATGTTGCTACATTTTTACCCTATCGGCCAGACAAACGGTGGGTCATATAAAACAACTTTTCAGTGTGATTCGACGTTTCATTTCGGAGGAAAGTTGGTTGGAAAAGATTCATCATCCACCGAATGAGTGGATAAGATGGGATTATGCGAAGAAGCCATCCAGAAGAATATCTGTTGAGCGTTCGTCCGTCCCATATTGACAGAATCAGTCAGAGCGGGAAACTATTCTCTATCAGAAAGGCACCACATATTACTGATTTACTGGTAGTCTCGAAACTCTACTCTAATACTAATATACAAACCAAAAAAATTCAAAAATATATCCAAACTATTACTTCCTATTCAAGATTTACTGGTAGCCTCTAAACTTACTCACACCGAAAAAGTCACGTAGTCAATTCCAATGACAAATAAAGTTCTGCTTCGTCAAAGATCCCTACATAAATGTGACCTCGAGGAGGTCTTGTCGGCTTGCTGTTCAGGTCACATTTGACCTTTGAACCACTGAAGGTGTTTTCAGCTTTCGCCACGATGCCCACGACCCAGCCTCCAATCCCGCCGGTGATGCTGAAGAGACGATGAGGAGAGGTCGAAACGGTAGTCAAGGTTGGATGATGAAACATTTCGGGCTTCTAGGAAAAGTGTAATTGCACCAAACACGGAAGCAAGCAATGTGGCCGGCTACAACCCTGCCTACTTTTTACGGCCTGAAGTTGTCCACTCAATCAGGCATCTCAGGAGTTGATTGGTTCATTCATCTTTTCCCCTTTGCTCAGATGAGAATGCAGCAACATCCAATTGGTACATTCTAATCAGCTACTTCACATGCACTCCACAGCCGCTTCACTTGTCTGCAACCATGCATGGACAACAAAATCATCTGATTAATCACCTTAAGCAGCCTAGACGGAATACAGCTCTTATTCATCATCTACCGATAGTTTCGGTAGTCTCATTCTGAATAGACATAATGCGAGGCCATGTGACTATCTGAAACTTGTGGATGTGTAATACAGTCGTAACGGTCACGATACGGGCTCGAATCCCGCTGGAGGGGTTGATGAGACCAGTTGAAGCGGAGTCGAGACTTCAATCAACTTCATCTTTCGCGAAGCAAGATTAAGAGAAGCTCAATAACGTCCTGAGGCCTACTCATCTCAAGGGGGGAAAAACGTGACTTTCATTCCTTAATTCACCTTAATTAACCTAGCATCACAGATGGTTTCAAAAACTACTTATATCGAAAATGAGTAGATAGAATTGCAGCCAGTCACATTTCACGTCTTAGGGTCTAGTTACATTTCGTGAAGCGCAGTTTCCCGCCTTGAATATTTCAGTCATGACTGGACATATGAAGGTTTGGCACAAATTTAATCAAGTCGTGCGGCAGGTTGTTGACGGCGTATTAGCCCTAATCTCCAATTCCAAACTCGAGGCCTCTATGAGGCCAATTGACAAAATTCTACAACTCGTGTTTTAGGATGTATTGTTTATTATAAAGGAATTGTTTTAAACTCAACTTTTATTCATATCTTCAAATCATGGGTTGTCTTAATAATACCACACAATTGGGTAAACCGGTAGATATGATTGCAGATAGCCTCTTTATCGGTTTAGTGGTTTGTTTCTTTTTTTAATAAATGCTGTTTTCTGGCTGCGAAAATGTCTGCAACAGCAGGACAGACGAAAGGTAGGCACGAATGAGTCAGACTCGCTGAAGACCGCATCGCACACTCCGACCATCACAACTGCAAGACACTCTTTCCCCGACTTCCGGTAAAGCCAAATTACGAATCCCTTCAACTCGCCATTGCAAGGACATTGAACATCTAATTGGATGCATTGCTTCACCTACATGTTCATAAACGGGTAAAGCTGAAGCATGAAACGAGGGTGGTTTCTCTCTTAAATGATATCTACCACAGCGTGCCGAGGGCGTTTTCGCACAATCAAAGTCACAATCGCTCGGCTAAAATCTCCTCCTTCAGCCTCTAGTGACGTAATTTAAGACTCCCTTTTAACCAATCTTTTAT